GAGGTGTTCTCTGGCTGCATGGGAAGAAGTGAGGTGAAGGAAACCCGTCTGTCGCGAGGCTGCGACATGGGTAGAAACAGTCTGGGAATTGGCAAAGAAGAGAAGAGCATTGCTTGCTGTCAGGAGTATGACGAACGTCAGGCTTTACAGCCAGAAGTATCCAGGCTCAGGCGATGCGCGGAATGTGACTGAGGGGAATTGTGAGCACCTAGCACATTGGAAAGATCGTTTCATACAATGTTCAGCATTGCAAAGTATTTCTAAATGAAAACGGCACTTTTTCTATGCGTCCCTTTTGGAGCAGGGTCTTGCTTTCTGTAACCGTGAGGCTGTACATAGCATGATGTGTATTATTCTGATGCAGGGGATGTCTCAACCTCTGCTGTATTTTTGCAAACAAAGCACAATTGCACTATTAATTATTATTCTGGAAATGCATCTCTTCAGCAGTCAGATCTCAGCTTGGCTGTTGCCGCTCTGTTACCAGTCCTGACGCTCAGTCTTCAGATCTGATCAGAAGGAGCTGGCAGAGATCCCGTGTTGCGATTAATTCCTCACTCGCTCGCATCTCTCCACAACGCTTCGTGGTGAGGGCGGCTTTCTTTCGGAAATTGTACAGTGAACCAGTCTGCTGCCTGTGTGTGGCAGAGCAGGTTACTATCTGTGCTACTATTGCTTTTATTTACTGGAGTGTTTTCCTTCTGTGCGATCGGATGCATCTTCCTCTGTCAGTTGATTATCATTAGGACTCTAAAAAGAGGAACGGATAATACATCTATCCGTGAACAGCCTGATCTTTGCACGCTTACAGGTTTATTCTTTATATATATTCTCTAACAGTATGCAGCACTATCTTTTTGATGGGATAAGAGGTATTTGCAATCTTTGGTCAGAAGACTTTAGCTATTGAAAGCCTCGTTGATTTTTTTTTTTTAATCCGTGACAACTTTTTGATGACAACTGTGAGATGTCTCTCTTTCTGTTTAGTTGCTTGTAATTGTACTTTGTACCCGCTGGGGCAGCTTTGCGCCTGCCCTTTCTGTAATGATTCTACACCAGCTAACGTAGGGGACGTCACTCTGGTGGAAACGCTGGAGTTATTACTGTTGTCATCGAGGGCAGATTTGGGAGCAAAAATTGAGAACTGGATTTGCAAGCTGTCGTGCTAATTGTTTGCTGCTTTTGCCTGAAATGTGTAAGGCTCACTGATTCATTTTAAGTGCTCGTGATTGCTCTGGGCTCAGGTATGTTGGCTTAACTACTTGAAATATAATTTTGGAGGGGGATCTGGGAGCAACAGAAAAATAAGTCTCGAGTTGATTTCCTTCACTATGAACGGTTCCATTCAACTGCGCAGGGGTATATCAGCGCCACGTACTATATCTGTGCTGGAATGTTTCGGTGACATTTCTGTATTACTATTGCTGTAGCTCTCTGGGAATAGTAGAAGCAAAGTGCCAGTCAAATAGAGCGCTATTGTTCCTGCCGTGAGGTTGCATAACTTTGCTACGAGCTAATCTAGACATAAAGAGGTAAAAATACTATTCCTCTATGGATTTAGGTAGCTACTGAGGATAATGTGCAGACAGAAGATTTTACTACAGAATCTCGAGAGACACAGGACTCTGCCATGCTACCCACAGCACAGGCTTGGGGAAGGCTATTTTAACAACAAACCCGTACGAATATACTTCTTCTCTTTTCCAAAACAACTTTTCTGGCAAAAAGACTTTCTAGTTTTCCTTTATATTTATTGAATGTATGGTTTCCGCTTTGTGGTATTCCCTTGCCATACTTCTGTGTTGTAACGCAGCGGTCTGTGTTCAGTGCTGAGTATCAATACTGGGAAGAGGATTTTGGCTGGGAGCATCACAGGGGTTGAAGATTAATGTTGCCAGTTTTTACCCGGTCAGGCAGAAATACATACTAAACAGGTTGCAAACATGACTGTACTGACAGCGGTGGTGAGGAAAAGATTCTTCCTTTGGAGATTTTGAGCCCTGCTTGCAAGCCTTGGTGTGGGCAGGATCTCCCGTTCGGTGAGACTTCCTGCCGTTTGGTAGGAATGTGATTTCAGGCCACGAATACCTGTCAGCAGTCCTGGCGATTCCTTGGGCAGTACTATCTTGGAGCTTTCTAAGAGAACCACTCTCTATCTCCATCAGCTCTCCCAAAAGTAATTTCACAAATGGAAGTAACTTGGGAAAACTCTTCTTGAGTTGAACATCTCAGCACTTCTGATTTCTGTTTTGGCTGAATTCTCAATATATTTTGTCACAGCTTAACCTCCCCCTCCCCGGCAAAAGAAAGTACTTCTTTGTAGAGGGGGAAATACTCAAAATTCATTAACCCTCCCTTCCCCCCTTCCCAAACACTTCCAAATAGGAAGAGGAAACAAATGATGGGCTGACAATATGACTGCTTACCCATGCAGCACAATCTCCATGGAAACAGACTGTCCTAGAATAGCTCAATCACATGAGGGTTACATGACATGAATAAAGTAACCAGAAAACTGGAAAAAAAGCTTAGAACTGGAGATACTTGCACTTAATTCGTTAACCCCCAGGTCTTTGGAAAGTAGCTAATAAACAAAGCTACTGTTGAAACCAATTTAGTAATGCATATCGTAATTTGTAAGTGATAGGATAGCGGAAAATTAACATTGTCCTCGTTTAAGGGCTGTTTAGTGTTTCCAGTTTGGGAGACATTTAGAATGAATTTTGAACAATTTTCCACATGACCTCCTGCTTCTTCAGATTGGTACCAGCGGTTTGCAGTATTGCCATGGTAGATCCTAATGGATTTCCTCCCTTTGCATCAGCAGGCACTGACCGGTTCGCACTTTTTAGGACATTTTGGGTATTCTAAAGAGTAAACGCACTAGTTGAAGTAGGAACCGCCTGTGCATAGAAGGAATTGCAAAATTACCTTCAGCATGTTTCCTTCTAGTTAATTATGTACTCGTAGGGCAAGGAGATTTATTGAGCGTAACCACATTCAATACAAAAATGAATATATTTCACTGACGATTAGTTTTCTGTCTGTAAAGTCAGTGTTTGTAACATGACAGAGTCATTGAGAAACCTGTCATACAAATCAGATATAAACAAGTAAATATTCTACTGATTCACTGTAAATTACAGCTAGGTAGGAAAAAAAACCCGGTAGTCGTTAGCTGCAGGTCATTGCATCATTACAACGTCGTAGCCCTTTCAACGGTGCAAGGATCCTGTAATTTCTGTGGGCAGGCAAAGATCATCGATGACCCTTTTCCTGCCTGTCCAGTCCCAGATCACATTATTTGTCACAGCTTCTACTTCTGAGATGAAATTTTGTAACAAGCTTTTTTGTCCGTTGTATGAACGAAGCCCATAAAGTCATTACGCATTTATATTAGCACATTTGCTGTCTTGGTGCCTTTAATAGGAATCAGCCTAATTCCCATCATCTGTCTCCTGGCAGAGGTTGAAAATGGGCCTCGGTCGTTAGTCAGTGAAAGGGGAACGAAAATCAGTTTGAAGATTGAGATCCTCAAGATGTAACTTTGATCGTTACACGACTGTGAAGCACAGGAGGAAAACCCATAGTTGGCCGCCGTCAGAGACTCTGCTGTTTTGGACAGTCTGTGGAGACAGTTCTGGTATTGGCCATGACTGATCATGTTCAGTACAACAACGTTGCGTCCTTACGTTAAACCGTTTTCAACTCTCACGCAACTTTTCGATGTTTTCATTTAACGCATTTCCGATTTATCAAATATCTTTAGGTGGATGATCATTTAGGGCCGTTTGTCTGACTTACAAAGAGCCACCGATCGTTCCCCTGCTCCTCGCTTTGTATCTTAATCCCGTCGCTGAGCTGTGTGACTAACATCGCTGGCTGTTACACGGTGCTTTTCTGCCGTATGGTCGCACCGTGCAAATGGGAGTCTTACTCCCCACGTTTTCATGCAAGCGAAGGTTAACAGCGTCAGGTTTCAGATCTGGTACGTGGCGTGTTTACTGCCCGTACAGGACTGCTCGTTTAAAGGTTACATTTCTAACAAGCTCCTTCGCCCTGCTTTGCTTAATAAACACAAACGCCGTAACATAGATCTTTTTAAAGCACCTAACGCCTGGTCTTCCTAAAACTTAAGTTGGGATTTGTCCAGGCTGTTGGTCCCGATGGCTGAGTGGGATGTGGTGTGTTCCTGGAGAGCTTACCGTTGCCCTGATCGGGGAAAGCGATGCTCTGGTTTTTGTTTCCTTCGAATGGCTTTCGACTTGCTCAGGGGCACAATGAGTCATTCAGTTTTGATCAGTTGATTGATGACGCTGCATGTGTGCGCCACTGTCACAGCCTGTGGGATTTCTCTAGCCAACCGTTCCCATTTGCAAATGCAACCCAATACCTGGGCTTTGGGAGAGGATGAAAGGAGTGAATATTAGAACTGCCTATTGATTGAGCATGAAAACAAGATTTTCCTTTTTTTTTAAAAAAAAAAAAAAAAATCTAGTTTCCTGGGTGGTTTGTTATTTTGGGGGGGGGGGGGGGAAGTGGTTTTGAGACTGCCTTTCCTCCAGTAAAAGGAGCAAGGCTGTGAACCAGTCTCATTCTGGTGGAACTTCCACTTGTGTCGGGCCCAGCACAGTTCACACGTACTTTACGCACCTGAATTTCTACAAGAAAGTACTGTGGGTAATGTATTATTTTGCAACAGGATACATAATTTCTTCTGGTGGTGTTTTAGGATGTTGGCAAGGGCAGTGTTTGGAAATGTTGTTTTCAATCTGTGCAAACAGAGAAATGAGTCATTTGCATTCGGAGTACAACAGGCAAGAGCAGCTCGCTGGGGGGGCGGCAGAGGGGACGAGGGCTGGGCTGGGCCCGCTGCAGCTCCCGTGCAAAAACCCAGGAAGCACGGGCTAGTGAACCGAGCTGTGCTTCCGATTGCTGTGAGATCCCCCCAAGCGAACTGCAGCTAAACAAACAAATATTTTGTTGTCTCAGACAGAAAAATGAAAGCCTACCCAGCCGTCGGTTTCTTCCTCCTCTTCGTGATCAGCTATGGCTCTTCTGAAAACTCAAGTACGTCTAGAGGGTGCGGACTGGACCTTCTCCCTCAGTACGTTCACCTGTGCGACCTGGATGCCGTTTGGGGAATAGTGGTGGAGGCGGTTGCGGGGGCAGGCGTGCTGACCACGTTACTGCTGATGCTGATTTTGCTGGTGAGGTTGCCCTTCATCAAGGACAAGGAGAAGAAGAGCCCCCTGGGAATGCACTTCCTCTTCCTTTTGGGGACTCTCGGACTGTTTGGGCTGACGTTTGCTTTCATCATACAAGAAGATGAAACGGTGTGCTCTACCCGAAGATTTCTCTGGGGGGTTATCTTTGCTTTGTGCTTCTCGTGCTTGCTAGCTCAAGCCTGGAGACTTCGTAGACTAGTTCGACATGGGAAGAGTCCATCTGGCTGGCATCTAGCTGGGGTGGCAATCTGCCTGATGCTCGTTCAGGTCATTATTGCAACCGAGTGGTTAATACTGACAATCGTCAGAGATAACAAGTTGGCCTGCAGCTACGAACCCATGGATTTTGCTATGGCTTTGATTTACGTTATGTTCCTGATGGTGTTTACCATGGGATTTTCTCTTTTCACTCTCTGTGGAAAGTTTAAGAAATGGAAGAAAAACGGAGTGTGCCTCATTATAACGCTTTTTTTTTCCATTCTGATTTGGGTAGCCTGGATGACTATGTACCTCTTTGGTAACGCTGAGCTAAAGAAAAGAGACCAATGGAGTGATCCCACTCTGGCTATTGCACTGGTGTCCAGCGGCTGGGTGTTTGTTATTTTTCATGCCATCCCAGAGGTCCACTGTACCATCCTTCCATCACAGCAGGAAAACACTCCCAATTATTTTGATACTTCACAGCCAAGGATGCGTGAAACTGCTTTTGAGGAAGATATACAGCTTCCTCGGAGCTACATGGAAAATAAAGCCTTTTCCATGGATGAGCATAATGCAGGTAAGACTTTGCTAGAGGACTCTGTTTTTCTGTAGTAGCCAAGAAAATCATCTGCATGAGACATTTTTCAGGTGTTCAAAACAAGGGTCATTACAAATGCCAGATTTTTCATACTACATGTTGTTCCCTTTTACAGTTTTCATCAAGATATCACCTAGTGGGGGGAAAAAATGAAAAGAAAAAAAGCAATAGAGAAAATATGTCTTTGGTTAAAATGCTTCTTCTGCATGCTGTTTTTTCATTGAAAAACTGAACAATTTGAAATGCAAGGCCAACACTGAAAGCCAAAAAAATTTACTGTGGAAAAAGCAGCCTCTATTTTAAAATAGTTTAAATTGCATTTTTTGTCATTATCAGTTAACAACGTTTAATATGAAATATTTTCCAAAACCCAAGAAAAAAGCAAGTAAGTGTTCTGTGTTACAAAATGCTCAGCCTCTGGAGCAGCAAAACAATTATTATTAATTTTATTGCCATTAAAATGGGATTTAGCGCCACTTTGTGACTCGGGGGGGGGGGGGAGGAAAGGAATGCAAAGGGGCATAGAGCCAAGTTCAAAGACAGTCTTTGTTCCGACCGCTTTAACGCCAGAGCAGAGACGCCCAGATAGAGGGTTCCAGGTAACGGTTGCTTTCCTTGCCAGAGCTGTTTGGTGACATAGCGCTCTGCGTGATGACACGTCATTAAAATCTGCAATGAACGTGGTTTTGAGCGATTACCGAAAGGGCCAGCAGCAACTGTTAGCTGAAGAGATCCAAACATTGCTGGACGTTTAACCCACGTCAGAAAACGCACGGGGATGCCGGTCTGACCGGCGATGGGCAGCGCGAGCCCGACGGCGTTCCGTGGGGCAGGCTGCGGTTGGTGCTGCCCCGCGGCTGGATAAAGGGCTTCGGTACCAGCCAGACTGCTTCTTACTCTCTGGAATTGAGACGAGCACTCGGTATCCTGGCCAATAGTTGCCACGTTGCTCCGGCAGCCCCCAAACGAAGCCTTGGGGCACGTTGTCCGGGCACTTCACCTTCCTGTTCCTCTTCATGTATCTTTGATTTCCCCGGGGCTCGACGCTTCCTCTGGATGTAGACAGACCCCACGCGGAGCAGGACAGCGCTCCTGTTTGTCACGCTGGCGGGGCAGGAAGGCATGGTCCCTCTAAGTGTTGCAGCAGGAACTTTAAAGGTCTCCTAGTACGGAAACTTTGAATAGAAAGGGGTTAAGGTCCCGTGAGTCTATACCAAGCACAGAGGTAAAACAAACTAAAACTCACATAGATAAAGAGTGGTTGTTTATTACTAATGTTCCAGAGCAGCAGCAGCAGCTTCACGATGGACTGTAAAAGCGCTCATCTTTTTTTTTTTACTGTCCTCCATCCCCCATTAAATTAATTTCATAGTCAGGTAACTGCAGTGACTTCTGTGGAGCTATTTCTGACGAAGGCAGATCTGAGAACAAAATTGGATCTTCCACTCTGTATTATTCCCATTCATGGATACGTTTAAAAAAAGACCTGGAAGTTCCTTTCTGATCTAATCATTCAGTGATTAAGCTTTTTAGTGAAATGGATAGACGTATGATAGCTGTAAAATCATTAAGGTATCTATTATAGAGCAATTCATGTTCTGTTTTAATCTATCTGAATCTTACGCACTACAATACAAAATAGATTTCCTTATCTGATGCCCTTATTAATATTTATCCTAATAAATGCATGTCACTCCTATTCCTGTGGCAGGTGGGGGAAGGATACATACATTTTTAATAAATCAAAACAGATTCATTATTCCTTTGCAGAGGTTCTTTAAGTAAAGCCATATGACAGCAGGGTTTGGAGACAAAACTTACTACTATGGTAGAGACCTAAAGCAAATACAGGTAATAATATTCGAGTCACATACTATGGCTGGTGGAGTGTTAATTTAAATCAGATCGCTGCACTGATGGTTGTCAGTGGCTGAGCACCTGGAATCTGTCAGCAATTGGCTCTCTGCAGGTATGTTGAGAATGTTCTTTTATTCGTTTAATTAACCTCAATTCGAGAATTCATCGTTAAGAGTTCAGAAATTAAAGGAAGGGTACTTTCTTCAATTATACTTAAGAACAGTGTTGAAGAATGCAAGGTCTGCTAGTTGTAAAGCTTTGGAAGACCTGATAACCAGAAAACACCTTTTAGTTCCCTGGCTGTAATACTTGTTTTAGTAAGTAGTTAGCTTTAAATGGAAAACATGCTTGGATAAACATATTTTCCATTAATTCTTCTTATTCCATTAACAGCTGTATATAGTAATGTAGTAGTTTTCTCTTAATTTTTTTCTTTTCAAAGATTTTAAGCAGCATGTTAAGAATCTGAACAACCTTTAAATGATAGGTTCAAACAAGTACATGCTCTCCTAATTTCTCTCCTCCTTAGCAAAATGTAGCTCCAAGTTACACGTACTAACAAGAGCTGCTCTATTCCAGGAATATCATTAAGCATTGACAAAGCAAAACCATTTTAAAGTCAGTTATTTAAACAACATACCAATCTGGGATTGGCATATTCATATGACAGATAAGTTGAAATATCTACTTAGAGGAGTTCTTTTCATACCCATGTCTTGTGAAAATGTCAGAGGGGTGGATGGCAGAAGGCACCCTGGGGTCCCCGTGCTGTCGGGAAGGGCAGCGCGCGCCCGGGGGGCAGCTCCTGTGAGGCAAAGGGAATTTGCCTGCCGCCAGGACCAGCCCAGATGGGAGCTGCCGAGTGCTACAGGCGCCAGAACCCCCAAGCCAGGCAGCTCTGCTCCTCGCTGGACCTGCCAGTGCCAGGAGCCGCCCTGGGAGCCAGTGCCTGAGCCCAAAGTCAGCAACATTTCAAATCTCTGTTGGAAGGAGACTTTGACACGTTTCCTCAAATCTTCTTGGCGCTATTTTTTTTTTTTTTTCACCTATACATCTCTACACAAGTAGATGTATTTAATAGCAATGGGGAAAGTTCAAGGAAAAATGGTAAAACTGGTATGAGAAAAAATTCCAAAACGAGTGTTTTGTCCACAAGTTTTGTCTCTGATTCTCACGTTAAAAGAATTTTAGACTTACTGCAGTAACAGGGAAGGAAAATTCAGCCACGTGACATTGAATTTACTGGCTCTTTAAGATAACTTTGAAATGAGGGTGGAAATTTTGGGTAAACATTTTATGTAAATGTGTAAACATTTTAACAATAGTATGCATTATAAAGAAAGAGACTTATTTTTGTTATGTGTACTATCAAATACCAGTGCAATCATTGGTGTTTAACATACAATAAGAAGCCAAAGTACAAAGAAAGAATGCCACTGCACCTGAGATGGTTAAATATGAAATAAAAAAGACCTAATTCTAGCTTAGGCATTTTCAGCTTTTGTTCTCCCAGCATTCTGCAAAAATATCTGATTTGAAAACGCAGAGCAGGAGAGGCTCTCTGTGTATCTGAAGCCAACAACTGAGCATTTGCAGGGCTGGATTTCTAAATTTCTGTGCTAAATCAATACTGTTCTTCATCTCTGCGCACAGCTCCCAGAGAGAGCAGTAGCAGCGGCAAGAGGACGGCACGTGGCCGCAGGATCCATTTAAGTCCTGTTCCACACAGGGCAACTATATTAAATCCTGGCTTCGTTAAAGGCTATGCTGAAAGTCTTGTAAAAACTTCAGCTCATTCACTGTTTCAGCCAGAGAGTGTAGAATTGTAGTTTGAATTAAATCTAAGAGAAATTCTTGCCTGAACTAGGCGCGTTTCTGTTTACGGGCTCACGGATGAGTACTGCCCGTTGTAACCCCGCAAGCGGCAGGGATAAATGCGCTCTGTTCCCTGGCCACATCTGAATGCAGGGAAGCTGTTATCTACCCCCCAAGTAAAAAGAGAGTTTGTATGTGCCAGTCCCTGGGCTGGTGTAGAGGGAAAGCTGCGTATCCCTAACTGCGCGTCTCTCTCACGCAGAATATACAACTTGTGCTAAAATTACTGGAAAGACTGATGTATTTTGGTATAAACGTTCAGAAGGACAACCCGTATCTTCTCTTTTGCTTCAGTCAATTGCCATGGTTAAGCTATTCGAAAGCAGTATTTACTTCATATTTCCAGTTTCTCAGAGTAAATATAATCTGAAACATCTGGAAAATCCTCATACGCTAGTCATGCTGAAGTAATGCTCAGGGGGGTTGTGAGCATGCTTACTGGCTCGAGCAATGTTTTGGATCCCTGTCCTCTGACTTTGATAGAAAGCAAAACGTACGGTGCTTTGACTTAACCCCCCAGTATCCAGACCCAGACAGTAAGTGCTCTGCCAAAGGCACGGCACAAGACACACCAAAGGTTCGGTGACTGAAGACATTTAGCTCCTATTGAAATGAGACTGAGCAAACTTCAAAAACTTGGTTCCAATAATTTTTCTCCCATTCCAGAGCAAACAGTTAATTTTCTGTAAAACTGATTCTTCTGAGATCCATCCCCGACTATATAAGAAAAACTGCTGTTCAAAAGCCACGTGAAACCTGGTATGGGAGCACGAGAGTGAAAATCAATGGCAAAGGGTCCCAGTAACTAAACGGGAGGCAAGATCTTTTTACGATGTCAAAAGAGATGCACCGCGTTAATTGTGTCCCTAAGAACGCTCTCTCTTTTCTAAACGCAGCGCTCAGAACGGCGGGATTTCGGAACGGCAGTCTGGGCAGCCGACCTAGCGCTCCTTTTAGAAGCAATGTTTATCAGCCAACTGAGATGGCAGTTGTGCTAAATGGTGGGACTGTAAGTATCAAAAAGTGATGATTTAAGAACTCTTTGATATGCACTGATATATACAACCACTACTAATTGAAAAACCTGCTTTTAGCTTATTCACAGCAGGGGGGAAATGCTATAAATGAAAATTCGGGCAGCAAGTATGCATGTGATGCTTCCCTTCCCTCTAGGAAAGATGTAATTACAGTGGTTTGCATTTCTTTACTTGCCTGTTCACCGTTTGCAGTGTAGCTTGAGTGAACCAAGCTGAGACGACACATGTAACGGCCCTTTTGAATTAAATTTGTGTTAAGGTATTTAACATAACTATGAAGTGACACAATTTCTAACCTGATTTTTTTTCAAGATGCTGTGAGTCACACAAATGTCTATAGGCCAGGACATCACTGCAGATAAGAATCACTGTAGCAGGTAGCGGTGGTCTCTCACAGATCTTCCATTTTCTTGTAAAATGTATGTAATTCTTGTAAGTAAGTTACATCTCTGGGAAAGGGCTTCATCAAAGAGGAGTATAGAATATTTTAATGTTAATACCATTGATTTTTCTTTCTTGGACAGTAGTTTGGCATGCCATTCTTTGACAGACCCGTTTTTCTGCAGCCTGGTTGTAGTAAGAATGGCTTAGCGAGCCGACGCCAAACAGACTTTCTAAACGTTTGTCACCTGATGTGTAATTTGCGCTTGAAGACATTTCATACAGCAGGCATACTGTTGAGAAAGAAGACTTTTCATCCCCATATTTTTCATGCATACCTACATGCTTCTTAAAAATCTACCCATGAGCCAGTTTATACTCACGTGAGTTGGGCTTGCTTTATTTTGGATCATGAGCCGATTCCATAACTCAACCTCTACATTGAAAACCAAGTAACGCAATCTGGTTGCAGGTCTTTTTGGTTTTAACTAAGTAAAGTTTTGGTTGATTTTAGTGAAGAGTGACTAGATACAAGGATTCTCCTGCGTGGGTAAGACAGTAGGAAATGCATCAACTGGAATAAAATGAAAAGGCTTGTGCTTTGCTGTCGGTAACGACGCTCGGGTTGATCCGTGCCTATGTTTTCTGATACCAGAATACGCCGCTCAGGGAAAAAGGTAGTTTAAGGATGAGAAGCCAGAGAATTTGTTTTGGGTTGGGTTTTTTTTGGTTTTTTTTTTGCTTTGTTTTGAGGTGGATACAAAGCTTACTGGAGAACATCAGATAGTCAAATGAGAGATTAATGTGAATATATAGTCATGGTTTTTACAGAGAGGTGAATGTACTGTATGGGTGATGTACTTGTATCACTTTGCTCTGGAAATGCTGCCTGGAAAGCTGCCGTGTACATGTAGCATGATAATGCTCATTTTTGAACAGCCTAGATCTCTCAGTTACGGGTTTATTATCCTTATTTCCAGATACCAACTGCTCCACCAAGTTACACCGGACGACACCTCTGGTGAAAGGCTGTAGGCTGTAGAGAATAAGAATCCTTGTTGCAGATGTTGTTCCCTGGCAGTGTGTCTTTGAGGGAGGAATCCATAACAGTACCAGAACCAAGCAACAAAACATCCAGGAGCTTTCGAAATCCTACAGAGGATTTTGTCTAAATGTGAACACCACTGAACCGATACGATAATTGCGAAAACAAAATTGTTCAACTGAAGCTGCATCTAATTTAAAATAGAAGTAGGCACACCTTAAATTGGAAGAGGGGGCTGTTGTATCCTGAAATGTAAGATATTCTCTTGTCTGTAACTAGCGTGCGAGGCAAGCCTGTTCTGTTGGTTGCCAGTTGCTTGCAAAATACCCTCCTCTCACCTAAACTTAATTCATGTTGCCACAAGAGATTGCCACTACGGTGTGAAAACATGCAGGATTTCTTTCCATTTTGCTCCTTTTCCCTTCATTTCAAACGTCATGGAAAGTACCGTTTGCTTCATTACCTAGCTGTACTGTAAAGTCACATAGCATCGTGTGGAGTCGAGCATTGTCACTCTGTGGCGACGAAATTACCATTATGCTGTAGGTCGATACTCTTCTCTTTAAAAAGCTGGTGTAGGAAGTGCAGTTCTGGAGGGATGAAAGGTCTGCGTACATTTCATGCGCGTTACGATGGAGCTTCTTGAGGCAGAGAAAAAGCGTAGGTCCAGCACGGAGGCAGCTCTCCTCGGCCGCGTGGGATCGATTCCCAGTCGAGTTATTCCAGCCTCAGCCCCGGGCGCGAGCGAAGAGCCACGTGCTCTCAGGGCTCCTGCAGACGAAGCCGCTAAGGCAAACCGTGGAGGGACGTGCTTTTGCAAAGACGTAGCTGGGGAGAGAACGTGCCTCGAGTTTGCCGGGAGGAGTTGGTTGTGATGGTGGATGAAAGGCAACCCGCTGGACTGATCTTGTCGAGCAGGAAAGCGGAGGCAGCTGAGAAGTCCTGACCAGGAGGCTCGGCACGGACAGGGTCAAGGTCGTCCTTCCTGGTCCCTGGTCACCCGAGCGGTCCCCTTGGCTGCAGCTCTTTGTGCGTTTCAATGTGGTTGTGTACTTTAGTGCCTAGCTAGTAGAATCTCCGTGCTGGAGGTGGTTTGTTGTTGTTTTTGTTTTTTTAAGGTGGTTTCTGCCCTACTCCTCCCCTCCCCTCGTTTGAGTTGGTAGAAGGCAGACTTTCTCAAAGCTTTTTTGTCTTTGTTTTCTCCAGGTTATTTAAAAGGTTCCCATTGCCCATTGTTTGTGCCATGGTTTTTCATTATGTTTAAGCAATCATTCCTTTATTTAACATTTAATACATATCGGACATTGAAAACATCATTGTATCCTCACTGTTTGGCCAATGTTAATCTTAGCTTTCCTCGATACTAAAAGCTAATCATTTTTACTTGAGGGCATAGGAAACATATAACAATTAAACTTTGCATATGCTGTAAGAAAAAAATATATTTTCAAACTAAAAAAATATAATGTACAAATAACTGAATAGCTTAGTAGCTTCACAGAAAGAAGTTACTTGCTGTATACTGCAAAAGAAAGACAAGCTTTTTATTTTTCAAGAGTCTTCCCGATTCTTCACGTACCTCCATTTCTACTGAATTAGGAACCTAGTCCTGCAGACTTGTACTCCCACGAGTAGTCCCATCGACACCAGTAGGTCTACATACAGGTACAGAGGCTGCAAGACCAGTCCCTAAATGTTGCACACAGATATATATGTATATATATATGGAAAAAATATATATTGCCATTCTTGCCATGATCATCTTACAGGGTTTTTCCTTCCAAGCCCGTCTCTTCCAGCAGCAATGTTTTTCTGTCATGCATGAGTAAAGGAGCATGTTAGCTCCCCCCTGCCCTTCCCTCCTGGAGGCAAAGGAAGCATGTGCTTGTTCTAGGGATTGCTTATTTTATTTTGTAACTAGATGGCCTTAGTAACCACCTAGGGTAGGGGTGGATATTGCATGCTGTCCAGTGACTTAGAAATACATTTGCTTGTTGTAAGCAAAGCTTTGATCAAATAAGATAGTATTTAAGATAATGACAGTTACCCAGAAGATGCATCATTTGGAATAATAAAAAACCTATTACCATCACTTGCCTGCAGAATTTGGCTTTTAAAAACCAACTAACCCCCCCCCCCAAACAACTCATAAAACACTACTGTAAAAAACATATAAGATGACCATGGCATAAATGGTAGGACAGCTTTCTTTTAAAAAGTTTATCATGCTACAACCAAGATTTATGAATTACAATACACGTTTTACAGACCTTGGACAAAATCTGTACAAGATATAGTTACCTTAAGAAACGTTTTTTTTTTCTTTTTCTAGATGTGACTGAATTGATAAGTAGAGTTCCCAATCCTGCTCCTGATGAAGTTGTTTGGAATTTGAGGCCTTATGCAAAGATAGGGCCAGATCCTACAAACCGCTACTCGCGTGACTACTCCCATTGGGTTAGTCATGTGGACTATTCACAAAATGAAAAATTAGCAGGATTGGGTTCAATTTGTGGTGGTGCAGGTGTGGCAGTAGATTAGGAGGGTCTTTACTTTCCAACTTTCTACAATTAGTAATAAGCAACTTTTTTTTTGTAAGTCACTAGTCTGTGATGTAAAATGCCCCAAATAAAACTGTAATTGAAGAAAGGCACCTTTATGTTAACTTATATTTTTGTTACAGTAAACAAATTGTTTACTTTTGCCTTTTATGAAAGTTACCTAGAATGTAGAGCATCTGTGAACAACATAATAAGTAAGCAAGCACAAGCCTTTCGCAGTTCAGTTAATTATAATTAGCTTTTTTCTATAAAAGCTACTGTGTTGTCCCTTGATGGTTATGCACGCATGGTGTTCCCATGCAGAAAAACAAAATTGTAAAGCATCTGAAAAAACTATTACTGAAACAAGATTTATAATAACTGGCTTTTGATCAATGGCTGGAAAGAAGTTCAAAGCCATACTTGATAGATCCTGTCCTGCTTTCAGCTGAGTTGAGGCTGTTTGACACTTGCCAGAACGTATGTAGCATCTTCAGAAGAACGCTCTCGATACATACAGTTGTTTCTCTAAACAAGGTACATGAAATACTAGAGAACTAGATGTTTCTGGTTTCGGTCTAAACACAGGCATCTCGGCTGGCTTGCTTTGAGCTTGATGCCTTGGGTCTAACCAAAGGCCATGCAAAAGGGAGCACTGTAGCTTTTATAATGAAACAATTGGACTATTCTACCAACTTACAGGATTCCAAAGCAGGTGCTTTTTATTAATTGATGAGAGCTAAAGCTCATTTTTGATAGATAATATATATTTATTAAATGTATTAATGTGTGTTTTATAACGTACCCTTTTTTCCGCTGATTGTTGCATACTGGTATCTTATTAAATACATCTTTAAAGGATTTTCAAGACAATCAATGTGTACCATGATGACTGTACATAAGTATACAAAACTACAAAGGTTGTAAAGCATGGGCAAATGTTTTATTTTCAAAATGCTGTTCTTAACGAGAATAAAGGCTTTACTATTTACTTACAATGTTTGTGGTAACTTGATGTTAAAATCCACCTAAAACGTTTTCATTACAGTAAACTGATGGTGCTACAGACAGCATTGCAGTGATACCGTGGGTGCAGTTCTGCAAGAGAAGCTAAGTTAAACTAAAGGAAACCGGCTCCTAGAGGCTAGAGCCACGTCCCTCCACCTTTGGCCACATTCCCCCTTAGGTCTGGCACCTATCAAACCCATGGCAAGCCAGTCAAGGAGCTGAGCAGCGAAACTCTTAACACTACAAGTGATTTTTATTCCCCCCCTGCCGTTGGCTCAGCAGGTTCCTGTACTGGCTCAATTGCTAGTGGTTGTGGAAAGGGGGGATAGGATCATACAGCTGGGGTTGAAGAATGCAGGTTGAGAGGTTTTCCTTCAAATGGTTTGATCTTCCGGATCTGGTGCAACCACCAACATCACCACCCAGGAAAAAAAACAAGGGGTGGGTAATGGTGTAACGGTGAAGACAAAGTCTGTGTGAGTGATGGAAGAAATCCACGTTGAACCACAGCAAGAGCTAGAGAGTATCCATCTTTTAGCATGCGTTCATTCACAACTAGGCCTTTGTTTGACTTCTGTGGAATCAGTAGTAGAACTGCAAATACCTTCTCTAACTGTGAAATGATAAAGTCCTAAACAGGACTATGCTTGACAAGACTGAATTAAAAAAATGAGGGCTCCATAGCAGGGGGCCCAGTCTGGTTTTTATTCTGCTTGCACCTTATGTAAATAAGTACATATACACGAGATCACTGAAAACGCTCTCGCTGTGCCCTTGACTACACTTTCTCAGCACATGTGCTAAGTGGTAACAAAAGGGCCTTTGACTTTTTCCTTCTGCAGAAATGCAGAGCAACCCTAGCTTTCATTGCCTTCGGTTGGAATTGCAGAGGCGCAGCACTTCTGAAAATTAGATTGTTTTGAGCAGAGCCTGGATTAGTGGAAATTGTCACAGCTCTGCGGAAGTCAGTGAAGCTACTCCAGTTTACACTAAGTGAAGATTTTTGCCTTAGTTCTAACACTTGCCTACATGTGGGTGTAACCTCATTTATTTCATCCAGAGTTTTGTCCCTATCAGAAAAGCTTGTGAGTGAGCATTCAGGAACACAAGATAAACACAGACTCAAAATTTTTTGCTAAATGTGCACAATTCCATCTGTTTTAACGGAACTGTGCTCACTTACACCAGGGCTGAATTTTGTCTTGGCATGCTGGGTTCTTACATAATCTCCCTTTGATTTACAACACCTCATGTAAAAGTAAAACTGTAATGCTAAGAGTGTTTCTAAATCAGTACCGCAACGTTTAGACCATGAGCTCTGTGGTTTGGGATATTGGTGAGGAAACTAAAATTGAGCTGTTGAATGATTTTGTGTATATTCCTCTGAGTCTTCCAATTTGCTTCCCACTGCAACCATACAAAAGAAAACATT